ACGAAATGACGCGCCCAAAAAATAATGTTAGGCTGAAGAGGTGAGATCTCACCCTCTCTTTTTTCACCTCTTTTCTCACCTCATGAATTTTCCATCGAACTTCTTCATCGAAATGAGCGACACAGTGTTATCTGTCTATGATTTCTTCGTATGATGTTTTGTCGAAACATGAGCCAGTATATGTTTGTCAATCAACTTCTTCCCGAATATGTTTTTGTCAAGACTTCTTGTAATATAGCTTTTGTCAAGCATGAACGTATATGTTTTTTGTCGGAACCTCACTTTTTGACGAAGTGCAATCTTATCACTTCGTGTCCAAAACTTCATCCGTATATGTTTTGTCAAGACTTCTGCGTAATGATTTGTCAGACTTCTTCGTAAATGTTTTGTATGACTCTATCGTAAATGTTTTGTCATCGACTTCCTTTCCGGTAATAATGCTTTGTCAAGACTGGTCTTCGTATATGCTTGTCAAAAAGAAGTTTCATGAAGGAGGCGTTGAAGATGTTATAAGCCCATCTAAGACTTGAAGAGAGTTCAAGGGCGAGAGCACACTCTGGGACATTAGAGCGGGAGTAACTGGAAAAAACCAAATAAGCCCCAGAAGAATAAGAAAACTTCTTCTAAACTTTCTTCATTCAGATCTAAATCAGAACAAAAAGGAACTTTTAGAAGAACTTTCCTCATATGATTGCTCCACTCGAAAAACCGAGAGAAGAGATTCCGTATGAAAATCGCAAAGTTCTTTAGATGGTATAACATCTTCGTAATGAACGTAAATGACCCAAAAATAATGTTTAGTGTGAAGAGGTAGACTCACCTCTTTTCTCACGCTCATGAATTTTCATGATTTCTTCGTAAATGTTTTGTCATGGACTTCTTTCGTAATGACGTAAATGAACCGCAAAAGATAATGTTAGGGTGAAGAGCGCTGAGATCTCAGCCTCTTTTCTCACCTCTTTTCATCACCCCTCAGAATTTTCATGACTTCTTCATGCGAATGAGGCGTAACTGTTTGTCATGACTTCCATCGGATAATGTATTTTGTCATGGACTCTCTTAT